TTCGTGTGTCCGGAGATCTGCCGCTGTTCTCAGAAGAGCATCACCTGTAACAGCGCGACGGAGAGCCTGAAGAGCAGGACTCACAGCAGACTGTAAGCACACTACATCACAGAACGAAACATTAAAGACATATTGTACTGCATTCATTTATTAGGACATGTGCTTTTGGTTCCACTTTACATTTCAGTGTCACTGTAAAATAAAAAATATATATATAAAAAAAGATTTTCAGTGTTGAAAGATTAGGTTATTGGAGTAGCCTACGTTTTAAAAGCACATAGCCTACTTCTACTTCAAAATTTCACGTTTAAGTTAAAGTGTTACTTGTCATTTCTTTGCAAATGATTGTGAAGCTTAGTTGCAATTTCGGAGTGAAAATGGTTTATACACCATTTTTTCCAGCGATCTAGTGTATATAAGAGACCGGGGCAAGTTGTCACACGGGGTATATAACATACATGCATTTTCCATATAAGTCAGGTTTGGGGTAGGTTGTCACATTCGTATCGGGGCAAGTTGTCACACACGCTTGATATGCTGTAATCTTCTACAACTCATCAGTAAAAACAAAGGCTTAATATTTATGTACTGTATGTACATTTAACACTTTTGAGGTTTCATGTTTAAGAGTTTCATAATTGCTTTCTGTTTTCTTGCCAATATTTAGTTAATGCATTAATAATTATAATGCATTAAAATAATTCTTAATGCATTTTAAATATAGACATGAAATGGATGACTTTATTTCTACTGCCTGAATTCTCAATTCAGAATCAATAAACACCTTACCCCATGTAATGTGACAACATGCAAGTTGTATTTGGACAGTGATGGTGGAAACGTTGGATGGGTTTTTATAGTCCTTACTTGAAGGTTTGTGTCTGCATCAGAAATTGACTTTTAAACATGAAACCTATCTTGAGACACATTCATGGAGTAAAACGTAAGAAGAAAATGTCATTTACTCATATCAAGATCACATCATTCCTATAAGTATCATTATGCTCATTACTGGATAAGAAACTATTTATATTTTAATTTAATACATTATATATACTGTATGAAGTATTAATAATAAACAACAATAATTATATTTTATTATTTTAATTATTTAAATAAAACAAATTGTGTGTATATGTGTTGTTTATAGCAGCTTCAAATGCAACTGCACATCAGGTACAGTATACATGATGTTCATTAGCAATAATTCATTAGTTAATTAATATTATTATTTAGAAATGTTTGCTGATTACTAAAACTGACTGTGTGAATTAATGCTGAATAGTCTGTCAGCAGTGATTCACTGTGATAATGCACCTCCTGAATATCATGTGCCTGAACACATAAAACACATCTGACACACCCAAGTCAAGTCAGCTTAATTATTTCATAATAATGCTTGTATTACAGTACAGAATGTTAATTTGGAAAAAAAGGGCAGCTAAAAGGTGGTACAGTATGTCATTTTGTTTTAATGTGTGATTTGGAAGGTCATTCCCTTTTCTCAGGGATTGTATGTCTGTGCTCAGTTTATTCTCTTCTCAGTGCATTTTTAAAGGCTCATACAAATCTAACAACAAACACATAACAACAACAACCCAAAAGAGACATTGGATGTGCTTATCTGTGGCTCCATTTCATAAATAACATCCCAAATGCATTTGTAGTCTAAACACATGTGTCCCATTCAGTTATCTGAATATTAAATAAACAGTTATCTATATTTACTAATTTAATATCTGCAAAATGTACAATTTTGTAAATACAGTCCACACAAAATACATTTTACTGAAAATAACTTGCCATTGTTTTGCCATTAAGCCATTGTTTTGGCTGACGAATTGTGAGAAAAAAATATTGCAAGAAAAAAAATTTCAATGTAACTTTGCTTTCCATTTATCACTTAAAATACTTTTTCGATACCACAGCAAAAACTACTAGCCTAACTAAGAAAGTTCAAACATAATTAAAGACAAGTGAAGAGCCAGTAAAAAATAAGAGCAAATACATAAATTACAAGCATAGATAAATGCAACAGAACAAAGTTACAAATAAAATAAAGTCGGTAGTATTCAGGTACAGAAATGTAATAATTAAGTGTAA